GAGGCTGGGGCTGGGGAGGCAGCTTAGACGGGGGTGCTCGGGTGAAGATGGGGGACCCAGGGAACATGGCCCTGCTGGCCCCGTGCTCCCAGAAGGCGTTCTGCAGCTTGAATATCATGCTGAGGGGGATGGGGCGCTGGCGCGGGGCGCTGCGGGGCTGCGGGCTGGAAGGAGGCATGGGGATACGGCTGACGGGCTGCCAGCTGCGGGGCAAGGTGCCCGACGGCCCCGCGGAGCCCAGCGAACGGCGGTAGCTGCCCACATCTGAACGCCTGTCGTTGGCCAGAGGGGAGACCTTGTAATTGCGCGGCAGGGTGGCGCTGGTGAGGTTGTCCTGGGAGGAGCGAAGGGAGAAGGGGCTCCAGTGCGAGAGGTAAGGGCGAAAGGTGGGAAGGGGAAGCCCAGGCAGTGAGGGAGAGCAAACGTCCAGGAAGGGGTGGAGGGCAGCATATCGAAGGAAGAGCGTGGGAAAGGCACGGAGACCGCGGGCACAGCCAGGGAGCGGGGTGAGCCTGGCCCGGACCCCGCTCCCGACCTTGCCCGCCCTCCCCTCACCCAGAGCCTCCGCCGCTCACCTTGCCAGCGGCTCCCAGCCCGTCCAGGCTGCTCTCCCTCCAGGGCAACAGCTGCAGGCCCGGCGAGGAAGGCCGCGCGAAGACGTCCAGGCCTGCGAGGCGGGAATCATTAGGGTCTGGGGGGCGCCTGTCCTCTGGGTCCCCCATTCCCCTCCTTGCCCCCACCCGCTTCCGTCACTCACGTTCATAGCTCTGCGAAGACTTCTTCTCGTACGCCACGTCTAGGTCAGACTCATTCCAGGCTTTGGGGGGCCGCCGGCGCAGCGTCAGGTCGTCTGGGGGGACGTTTGCAGTGAACATGGGAACCAGGGGGCCCCGCCCGCTTCTGCGCCCCAAGTTCCGCCCCCTGGCTCACCTTGTGCGCGCAGAGGCGGGGCGAAGGCGCTTCCGCCCGCGCCCAGCAGGGGGCTCCCAAAGGCGGACTGCGCCTCGTAGGCAGCGGCAGGGGGGCGCGGCGACGGCCCGCGCTCGGGGAAGAAGGCCTGGGGCCCCTCGGCCAGAGGGCTGCCACGCGGGGAGCCGGCGCGCCCCAGGAAGTCGAAGGGCGTGGGGGGACCCTGCTGGCGGAGCGGGCCTGGCCGCGGGGAGGGCGCGCGGCCGAGGGAGCCGCTTGCACCGTCGAAGGCGCGGGGCCGGGGCGAAGGCGCGCGGTCCAGGCTGCTGTAGGCGTCGGGCTGCAGGTAGAGCGCAGTGCGGGGAGACGACGGCCGGCCCTTGGGGGACAACGGGCTGTAGGGATGCAGGGCCGGGGCGCTCTCCGAGCGCGGGAATGAGGTGTCTGTGCCGTCGGTGGCCGCCTTCCGGGGGGACCCTCGGCTGCCCATGGGTTCCGGGACCGGGCTGGAGCTGTACCGGGACAGCTGTGGGGAGGCCAGGACGTTGAGGGGTCAAAGGAGACATTAAAGGAGGGGTCAGTGGCGGGGGAGTGGGGGGGGGTTGTCAAAAGAGGTAACTGAAGGTCATCTCAGAGGACTTGGACTAGCGGTGGAAATTCAGGCACAGGGAGACCAGGTGAGGAGTGTTGGGGACAGACCCCTGAATGAGGATGAGTCTAGCTCATTACTGTGTGTCGCCTTTGCGTGACTTAGGACAGGCCCCTTTCCTTCTGAGGGTCCTGTTAGATGTGCACCTCCACTTCTTTAAGGCGACCTTGAATAGGCCACAACCTGCACAACCGTATGGGGCAGCCTTGCCTGAAATCCAGGCCTGTGGCCTGAGGTGTGGAGCAAAGCTGGCTTTGGAGGCCCGGGTAGGAGCCAGGCTCACCCTAGAAGGGGCTCCGGCCTGTGGGCCAGGAGGTGCCGGCGAGTCTGACCACAGCGACTCCAGCTGCTTGGTCAGTTCGTCCACCTTGGCTGCCGCCGTGTCCAGCTCCATCTGCTTCATGTGCTCCATGTGCTTCATGGCCAGCGCTGGGCGGGCGGGAGTGACGGTAAGGACCTGGGCTCCTGGCAGGGGCCCGGCCTCTGCCCACCTGCCCGAGGGCCCCGCCCACCGGCCCCGCCCCCTACCCCAGCTCACACTGGAAGTTCAGGTCCAAAAGGTCCCGCGCATTCTGAAACGCCTCGCTGTCCATGGTGCCAGCTGGAGCGGGCGCCTGCAGGGTGGGGAGGGAGCCGTCTAAGACCCAGCCCGTGTAGACCCCGCCCTCAGGGAACGTTGGGCAGC